GTACCGCAAAAAAATAAATAAATAAATAAGAAAACTCTCGAGACTTCCCTGGTGGTCCAACAGTTAAGACTCCGTGCTCCCAATGCAGGGGGTACAGGTTTGATCCCTGGTTGGGGAACTAAGATCCCACATGCCTCAATGCACGGCCAAAAAAGAAAACTCTCAAGATAGCCTCTGGTAAGCATGGTATCAGCAAAATCCTAGGCCACATAAGAAAGGGCTGGACCCTTCTGACGAGGAACCCCCAAAATCCAACTGCCCCAGATAATGTGTTGTGTGAAATAAGAAGGGTTTGCTACTGAATTTCAAATCCTCATAGACACTCGCCATTCTTTTTCAGGTTTTAACCTCAGGATGAAACTTTGGAAGAAAGGTGGAAGACATTATGCTAAATTTTTAAAAGGTGCAATGGAACAGGACCCTCCCCCTAAAGATATTTTCTACCAATTTGCTTTTTTTTTTTATGATTATAAAGATATCTTTGCTGTATTTTTATATTTAAATGCTAAATGTGCACCGAAACAATCAGCTAATTTATTTATACAGTTTACAGCTAGCAGGTCACAGCTGACTTTTATGTTATTTACCTATTTAAGTAATTTATGTATTTATTAATTTATTACTGTTATTTAACATTTGTGTGCCAAGATATATGTTTCATATACTCATGACCTGATTTATAAGGAATGGGCCCTATTATGCAAAATGTGAATTTATGTGTTATTTATACTGACAACTTTTCAATCGAGGCTGCAAGTGCATCAGTTTTATGGCAACCAGTAAGAACACAGTGTTCTGATGCCAGCGCCATAATATATTTGTAATGGATTTGAACACAAGAGATAGTTAAATAGACATGGAGATATAAACTCTTTGAGGAGGTCCTGGAGAGCAGATATTAGTTCCCGTGTCCATGAAGACTTCCTTGAAGTAGTGGTGATAATTCAGAGCTGTTTGCACCTCTAAACAAGTTTAGTCTTTGGATGCCTGAAATTAGAAAGAGCTAAAAATGATGATTGGAATTGAAATTCAGCTTCACCCCTCCTGGCAGCCCCTGCCCCCTTCTATCTGTAAGACGAAGGAGAATGACATGGAGATATCGTAAGTGTCTGGAAAGTAAAAAGATCTTATGATTCAAGAGAGAAGACAAGTGTAGTTATGGCTAAGGACAAAATTGTCAGAATTGCCAGTTGTTCCTTAATAGGCACACAAAGAAGCAGACAGATGCGGAGAAAACAGCCATGAATCTCTTACTTGTCAGCATGAGGGAACATGACAAGCGGATATGACTAGAAAGTTCCGAGCCATTAAAATGCTACTTTTAAGTAATGAATGTGCTTTTTGTAAAATGATTCCATTTATTTTCTGTTTACTTATTTATTTTTATATTCTGATGGTGAACTAATAAAAATATAACTCTTCTTTGCAATAATATTTTGGGCTTTCTCAGTTGACTGGGTATCCTGTTCCCACGCTTACCAGGGCTGTGTTATTTTTCCCTTACCATTGAAGGACTGCCCCACCATGAAGCAATTTCATTTCTGGTTTTGCACAATGGGCTCCTTCCCTTTATAGGAAAGTCAGTGTCTTGCCAAGCTCAGGAAATGTCCCTGTGATCTGACCACGGGGGACTCTGCAAGGGCACTAAACTGCATTATGCCCCTTCAGGGGTTGGATACTCTTGCTTCTGTCACCTTCTAACCTGGAATCAACTCTACTGGTTTCCAAAGCATCATGAAACAAATTTCCCACCTGATACAGCCATGGGCAACCCATCCCATAGGTCCAGCTCCAGTGTTTATGGAGAGTTTGCCATCTGTCTGGCCAACGGCTAAGCCCTGGGGTTGAGGAGTTCCAAAACACCTTGGGTTTGCCACCCCAAAACAGTGCCCACTCCTGGCAAAGCCTATAAGACTGGGATGAAAAGTTAACTTCAATACCACGAAATGTGAAAATATTCAGTGTACATGGTGTATATGGTGCCCTGGGGTAAAAATGAAGAAGGATCAGTATAACCTGGAGTCACCCAGGAAGACTCGACAGAGAAGGGGAGGTGCTCACTTTGGGCTCAAAGGATGGCCAGGGCCTGCCAGTTCCTCGGAACTGGCAGGCCCTGGCCATGGAAAGAACAAGTGGTGGGATCAGAGAGAATGGTGTCCATTCTCTGCTATCTTCAAAAGCCAAGTGCAAAAAAAAAAAAAAAAGCCAAGTGCATACATCTGGCTTCCTTGCAATGGCAAGGTAATTATAATAGGGATGTTTGTTTATATTCCTTATTTTAAGTGTCACCTGGACCCCTTATTGCACTCTACTCCTGGCCTGGAGGGATAGTGTAAAATTTCTATCATTCTAATCCAACATTTGAAATATATCATCTTGTGTTAGTAAACCCACACTTGATAGCACATGGTTGGTTAATAACAACTATGCATTCTTCTAAGGGCCTTTCATCTAGAGATACCAAAACGCTTACTGGGTACTTAATGAACAACAGTAAACAAGAAAAACATAATCACATTTCATAAGCACAGAGACCTGGGGATATTTCCCAAAACTTCCGGCAAGCCTGGGGCACCGCTCAGGTGCCCTGGCTCCACCAATGCCCAGTGCTTTCCTAACACAGCCTCTTAGCAGTTGATTAATTTCAGTTACATGTAAGCAATGGAGAGTTTTTCTCTTTGAAAAATATTCTCCAGGACAGTCCTTTCTACTGGGAAACTAGCCACTACAAATGCATCAAATGTCCTAGCAAAAGAGCTCAGGACGGGGCACCGGGAGCCTGGGCCCTGGGCCTACCCAGCCCTGTTATGTGACCATGTAACCTTCGGCAGGTCACTGGACACAATCAATTCTCACTCCCAACTGCCTTCTTCCCTGATGTCCCTCCCCAGCTCAAAGGTTGGGAAGCTAAGTAATCACTTTTCCAGTTGCTCTTGCTGCCCAGCAAGATCATGAGACCCAGTTCTGGCTCATGAGATGTAAGAAAATTCTTCTGGGGGTTTTTCTGTTAAAAGACAGAGCTATGGCTTACATCACCCTTCCCCTCCTTCTTCCTCTCTTCAGCAGATGAAATTTAAGAAGTCTCAGAGGATGCCTTGCACCCAGGATAGAAGCCATCATGCTAAGACAGGAAAGATAAAAAGACTCTGGGACCCTAGCGATATCATCAAGGAGCTGAACCAACCCCTGTGAGTACCTACCCCAGCCGTCTTGTTGTGTTAGAAAAGCAGACCCATATTTGTGTTTTTTTAATTGTGGTAAAATACACACAACATAAAATTTACCATTTTAACCATTTTAGGTGTAGAGCTCAGTGATATTAAGTACAGCCACATTGTTGTACAACCACCACCACCATCCATCTCCAGAACTTACTCTTCTTCCCAGACTCTGTACCCATTAAACAACAACTCTCTGTTTTTAAAATAGAAAATGAATAAACTGAAAATTGAATAAAGACATCCTCCTAAACATTCAGATCCTCATCTATGAGAGGCTGTTGGCCAAGTCAGAAAAAGGAGCCAGGCCAGCACGGGAAGGAACTGACATCAGAAAATCTGGTTCTGCCCCTTACAGCTGGTGCGACCTTGGGGAAGGCCTGGAGTACTTGATTTCCAACGATGCCAGGTTGGGTCCTGGTGATACCCTACCTGCCTGCAGAGAGGTAGCCATGGTCAGGTAGCCTGCTGCAAGGGCAGCCTGAGTGTCAGGAGGATTCACATGTGTTGATGTGTGTGTGTTGAGGGGTGGTCTGCGCAAGTAGCTCCCATAGGACAGACACCTTTGCTGTTCCTTCATTCACTCCACAAACATTGTTCATCACTCTGCCACTGGCACCATCCTCTACTTTCTGGATACAGGGGTGAAAAAGACCTTGCCCCCACGTGGTTTCCAAAGGCTTAAGCTTTAAATTCTAAGCACTGGCGGTCACTTCCTGAGGGTTAAGAGCACTATGAAATGAGATCACCGGTTTAATGTGATTGGCACAATTCCTGGTCCATAGTAAGTACCCAGAAAGTGGTAGCTATTTCCACTGACTAGCTCTGTGATTTTGAGCAACCCAAGCCCCCAGTTTCCTCATGTGTAAAATGGGATAATAACAGTCCCTATCTCACAGGGGAGTTGTGAGGATTAAATGAAATAACACTTAGAAAAATACCTGATCCAGGGCTTCCCTGGTGGCGCAGTGGTTAAGAATCCACCTGCCAGTGCAGGGGACACAGGTTCCAGCCCTGGTCCTGGAAGATCCCACATGCCGTGGAGCAACTAAGCCCGTGCGCCACAACTACTGAGCCTGCGCTCTAGAGCCCGCGAGCCACAGCTACTGAAACCTGTGCGCCTAGAGCCCGTGCTCTGCAACAAGAGAAGCCACGAAAATGAGAAGCTTGCACACCGCAAGGAAGAGTAGTCCCTGCTCGCCGCAACTAGAAAGAGCCTGAGCACAGCAACGAAGACCCTACAGAGCCAAAAATAAAAACAAATAAATAAATTAGTTTTTTAAAAATACCTGATCCATGGAAGTACTCAATAAAAGCTTGGTGTTAATATTCTTACCATACTACTTATCACCTGAAAGAAGCATAACTCTAGACCCTGTGCTTTTGAAGGGTGGGGAGATGGAGGAATCATTGTTAGGAGGCCCCAATGCCTCTAAGAACTAGGTTGGGACGGAGGCAGTATTAATCAGCCAAGGGGGAAGAAAGAGACAGCTCAGTCCCTTGATATTAAAAAGCCTCTGCAGTGTAGAATCCCTTTCTTATAAATAAAATTGCCCAAGATGCAATGAACCCAGTTCTTGCCTTCGGGGATTGTACAGTCTAGAGAGAGAAAAAGGGGACAAACATGGTGGAATATATTAAAACATAGCCTGGCTGGCATAAGAGTACGTGCACCCTAAATATTTCTTTTTATAAAGGTTTCCATCTCCTAGGAAGAGGCTGTCATTCCCTTTCACCTTCCTGGATGCAATAATTTGGCGTAAACCTTCCAATTCACCTTACCTATAAATCAGGTCTTAATCATCTCTTTCCATTTCATTTCAGTATGGCCCCTCTTCCAGGACAGAATCTGTGAGCAAAATGTATTTGGACAAGATTACTCCAGAGGCTCATATTATACCAAGGAAATGAATTCCCTCTCTCAAGCTCATAAAATGCAAAAATAAAATCAGCATTCGGGCCAAAGGGGGAGGAGACCAGGTACGCATACTGAAAAGCCTCCTTCTGCAGGAAGCAGAATTGATTTGCACTTTCCTCCACGCAGGCCTGGGTCCCGGGGCCTGCGGTCGTGCTCATCCTCTCACCTGGTGGGTGCCCGTGCAGGATAGGCCGCAGGGCTCTGCAGCTTCTTGCTAATCTCCCATCTCCTTTCATAAGGAGCACAAACCGGCTCTCCACTGCCCCTCACTCCAGCCCACCTGGCGTCTTCCCTGGCTGCTTGCTAACCTGAGCGAGGGGGGCTCCAGGGAACTGAGCATTCTGCCCATGGCCCTGGAGTTTAAGGGAGAGGGAAAGTCAGGGGGATAAATCTTAGACAAACCACAGTGTCCAGTCAGCTCTGCCCTTCCCACACCCAGCACTCAAACAGGTGGGATGGAGTTAAGATGGCAGCAGGCAGTGCCTGGACGTAGTAGCGCAGAGTGGTGGGGGTGGGGTGCATCTGGCCCTGGGCTCAAGTCCCCACACCCTACTAACCAGTGATGTGCCCCTAGGCAATTCCTTAACCTCCTTCTGCCTCAGTTTCCTCACCTCTAAAACAAGTATGCTGGCAGTGCCATCACCTCCCAGGGATGCTGTGAGGGCTACCTGAGACCAGGCTCGGAGCACCCAGCACCCAGCAAGTATACAACAAACGTTAGTTGCTTTTGCTGTTTTTCTAAAGTCAGGCCAAAAAGAAGCAGTCCTAATGCCACCTCATCTTCCCTCCCCATGGAAATGAGGGCAGGTTTGGGACATGTACACAAGCCTTTCCATTCTAACTCATAAATCTATGTCCTCCCACCCACCAGCCCTCTCCTGGGTACACTGCCAGTACACAGCAGTGACATTGCCCCCGAATTACAGCACCCAGAGCAACACTGCATTTCAGCAAACCATTGCATGGGTTTCCACTCAACCTTGTGGAACATTCTCCAGCAGTGGCTTGCCCTTTTCTCTGAAATCCCCCTTTTTTGCACTTTTGGGGTCCTTAGAGGCTAACCAGACCAGTGGTTCTCTAACTTGTTTGAGCCAGGATCCCTTTGTTCAAATGGAAATCTTAAATGAATTTCCAACATACAAGGGGACTGGGGAGGATGGGTACCAAAGGGGCTTTAATTGTGTCTACAATGTTCTAATTCCTTACCAGAAGGATATATTAGTAGATTTCCTGCATAATTAAAAATTAATTTTTTATAAAGTCCTACATGTAAAGCAAACAAAAGCAGAACTGCTCTGACTGAAGCTTCCCACCACTCAGTCCCACCTCCCTATTCACCATTGAGAGCCCTGGGGTGGCACCTCAACATCCCTAAACTCTGCAGAACACAGTTTGAGAACCTCTAGGTCACAGTAGTGGTACAGGTGAGAGATTGTGACAGTTTGGACTGGGAAAATGCTGGTAAGGGATGGAGATGAGAGGACTACTTTGAAACAAATGATGGAGAGAAATGACAGGGCCTACGGGTTGGACATGAGTGCTAAGAGAGAAGAATCAAGGATGCAAGAATGAAGCCCATTCATTCATTCGCTCATCAGGTCGTTATTAGTATCTTCCACAGTACATGGTCCAAGACTGAGCTAGACACAGAATGTTGCCTCAGCATAAACAAACAGTCCTTACTTACATGGAACTGAGAGGTTTCTGACTTGATCAATTTGGTCACTGGTGGTACCATTCACTGAGAGGGGAGGAGGAGGATTGAGTGGGGAAGGAACAAAGATTAGGGAATAAAGATGATGAGTTCCACGTTCCATCTGTGGACATATATATGGGACAACCAATTGGAGCATCCAATAAACTTTGGATATATGGATCTGGAGCCTGTAAGTGAAATTTGGACTGGAGATAGGGAGCTGGGAATCACCAGCATGTAATAGAAAAAAATTAGCTTCAGTCATTCAGAAAACAATGCCTATGAGGAGATGGGTTACAATTGAGAAACGGGGATTTGTTTTCAAAAGCTTTCACCTCCAGCTTTTTTGCCTTGGGACCAACCCTGAATGAGAGACTAACTGAAAGCTAGGACTGTCTTCTTTGTCAGTTTATGCTGGCTGAGCCCAGCACCAAGAAGCCCAGGGGTGCTCAATAAAGGTTAATTGAATGAAGGAATGACTCAAGAAGGCAAACAAATGAAACCCAGTGGGCAATTCTCTCTCAGATTCTTTGCTTTAAAATAGAGGAAATGTTTGCTCTCCACTTTTTTTTAAGTAGCTCCACTGCCCCAGAGTGCAGTCTCCCATGTATCTGAATGACTGAGTTTAATCCCAAATATTCGCTTAAATTAGCTGCTCACATTCAAAATGGAATCTCTCCTTAATGACTAACACTCCTTTCTTGGGAGAACTAAGACAGAGGAAGTTCAGTGTTTCCAAGGAGGCAGACATTTGATTCCACCAGGCTGGGGTGGTTGTGGAGGAATGGGTGGTAAGGAAACAAGATAGGGTACCCACGTGTGCACTTGACTATTTTTCATCTCTGGAATTTATATATGATGTACAGAGAGAAATTAATCAAAGGTAACCATTTCACATCCCATAAGAAATCTTTGTCATTGGAATCCAGAAGTGTGTGCAGTGGATAGGAATATGCTGGTGTCAGACTATAGAGGTTTTAATCCACCCCGCCATTTGCTAGCTGTGTGACCCAGGGCAAGTTACTTACCCACTCTACGCATCAATCCTCTCAGCTATAAATTGGAAGCAATAATAACGCCTTCTGCAAAGGGATGGGGTGAAGGTAAAATGAGATAATGCATGTGAAGAGCTCAATGTTCTAAGTTCTCAATAAATGCTAACTAGTGTACTAGTTTGTTAGGGCTGATGTAACAAAGTACCACAAACCAGGTGGCTTAAACAACATAAATTTACTGCCTCACAGTTCTAGAGGCTCAAAGTCCAAGATGAAGCTGTCGGCAAGATTGATTTCTTCTAGGGGCTGCAAGGGAGAATCTATTCCATGCCTCTCTCCTAGCTTTTGGTGGTTTGCTGGCAATCTTTGGCTTTCCTTGACTTCTGCTACCTCACCCCAATCTCTGCCTTAATCTCCACATGGTGTTCTCCCTGTGTTCCTGCCTGTGTCCAAATTTCCCCTTTTTGTAAGGACATATTGGATTAGGGGGACACCCGACTCCAGTATGACCTCACCTTAACTTAATTACATCTGCACTGACCCTATTTCTAAATAAGGTGACATTCCTGAGAGTATTAGAACTTCAAGCTGTGAATTGGAGTGAGGGACAAAATGCAACCCATAACAGCTAGTATTACTACTGTTAACATTATTACTATGCTTAGTTCAGATTACCAAGTAAATACATCTATCTTTTTTTGAGTTTTTATTTTGAATTCATTTCAGACATAGAAAAAAATTGCAAAAATAGTATAAGAGTTGCCTTATAACTATGACCCAGCTTCTCCTAATGTTAGCATCATCCATAATCTTAGTACAAGTATTTAAACCAGGAAATTAACGGTGATACAAGACTATTAACTAATCCATAGATGTTATGCAAATTTTGCTAATTGTCCCACCAAGGTCCTTTTTCTGGCCCAGGATCTAAACCAGGATCCAACATGGCATATAATTTCATGTCCCCATCATCACCTCAAATACAAATTCCTTGGTCTTCCTTAATCATTCGTTATCAGTACATTTTTGAAGAGCAGCTATCAGTTATTTTGTAACATGTCCCGCAGTTTGGGTTTGCCTGCTATTTCCTCATGATTAAATGTGGAGTCTTGGACTTCCCTGGCGGTCCAGTGGTTAAGACTCCACGCTTCCAATGCAGGGGGCATGGGTTCAATCCCTGCTTGGGGAACTAAGCTCCCACGTGTTGTGGGGCATGGTCAAAAAAAAAAAAAAAAAAGTGGATTCTGCATTTTTGCCAAGGATCCCACACAGTGATATTGTGCCTTCTCAGTGAATCACATCAGGTGGTCCTCAGAGTTGATGTACAGATCCTCAGGACTGGTGATGTTAACTTCGATCACCTGGTGTAGGTGGTGTCTCCCATGCTTCTCCACTGTGAAGGTTCTGTTTTTCCCTTGAGAATTAATACAGCTATCTTGTGGAGAGATACTCTGAGGCTGTGTTAATATCCTCTTTCTCATCATACTTTCACCCACTAATTTTAGCATACAGTGATGACATCTGCCTGCAGCAATAGTTTTGCCTAATGGTGATTTTCTATTTCCATCATTCTTTATATATTAATTTGAATTCTACAACAAAGAAGGCTTTCCCTTCTTCCTATATTTTTTTAAATAAATTTGAGGTTATCAGAGGCCATTGAGTTAACTTCCCAGGATCCCTAGAATCTGATTCTTGGGTCTACCCACTTCTGAGGTATTCAGTTGCATGCCTGCATAAAGAAAAAAAATCTCTTTTATTTTGCATTTCGACCTCATGATTTCAGTTCCCATTAATAAAATCTTTGAGGGAAGAGTGTGCTAAATGCTTTGTAGGGTGAAGAGGATGTTTAAATTATTCAAGAGAACTGCTTTCATACAATTTGGATGTACCCATTTACACATAAAAATTAATGCTAATTAGATATAATTTTCATCTATTCATTAAAAGAAATCCCAAAGCATTCCAGAAATCCTTAGTTAGCCTAATATCATTCTAGGTACTTGAAAACAAAATTGCTTTTCTTAAAAAAAGAAAAATCATGACTTTGTCTTTTATGAAAACATTTATTAGCACCAATGGTGGGGCCTGCTGGCTCCTCTTTCCAAGTATCCACATCCTTTCCTTCTCCTAATCAATCAGGCATTCATTCAACAACCACACACTGAGAACCTACTGTGTGCCAGCCTCTTCTCTAAGTGCTGGGACCAAAGTGGTGAATAAAAAGACCTGAACCCCTGCCCTACAGAGCTTCCAGTTTCATGGGGGAGATCAACTACAAACAAAATAACAAATCCTGTAAGTGGTGGCTGCTTCAAAGAAACATGAAGCCAAGAGGGAAGAGAGAATAACAGGGGCAAGGGAACCTCTATTCAGATAGTGTCAACGAACAGGATGACCTCTCAGATGAGGTAGAGGAGGTAAGACTTGACAGAGATGGAAAGAAGTGAGGGAGAAGCCCGGGGTAGGGGGATGGAGAACATTCCAGGAAAAGGAGCAGCAAGTAAGTGCCCCAGGTCTCAGTTCTGTCTTAGGAGCCATGATTGGGCCGCATTTGCTAGTGGGAGTGGTTGTTGTGTGTCCATCCCCAAACTGGTCCATTTTTGCTATATGTAAAACAGTCTTCTTCTGCTAAGTCTTAAGCTTTTTGTGCCTTCCAATTTACCCCCCACTTAATTTTTTTAACATGTAGTTTTGAATATCTTTCCTCATCTGGAAGAATACTTTACATAACTAGATAGATAGATAGACAGATAGATATTAATATATATATACACACACACATAGAGAGAGGTCCTTTTTTTGTTGATTGACAACCGACAGCTTTTAAGCCTCGCCTCTCCCTCTTATCTCTGCCCCACACGCACGCCTGGGCACGCTGGTAAGAGAGGCTGAGTGCTCCCTCCTTTGGTACAACATTGGAACCAAATTTGAGTGAAGGTTCACAGTGCGCACGTGTGTGCGTGCGCACACACACACACACACACACACACAGCCTTGAACTGTTCAATGTTACAGGCACTTACCACACGTGGCTACTGAGCACTTGGAATGTGGTGAGATATACTATACATGCAAAATACACACTAGGCTTCAAATATGGTACGAAAGAATGTAAAATATCCCATTAATTTTAATGTTGATCATCTGTTGATATGATATTTTGTATATATTAAGTTAAAGTACTATTTAAATTCATTTCACCTGTTTCTTTTAACCTTTTTTAATGTTGTACTAGAAATTTTAAAATTACAAGCACAGCTCATATTTCTAGTTCATCTTCTCTTTTTGTTGGACAGCACTAATATATACTAAAGTGATAACAGTGGGTATATCTTAGTATGTTTTTTTTTTAAATATCCTTCTTTCGACTTCTCTGTATTTTTCAAACATGTATTTAAAAATTAAAAGACACTTTCATGCAGTTGTTATCAGTGGAGTTAAAGGGGGCCGCTTAGGGGCTTGGAGGAGGAGTGATTACCCTGCTCAAAAAGTCCAGAAAGTAAAATATTTTCCAATTAGCCATAATCTAAAACTGAAGTCCATCCTCTGTCCACACAAGCTCTGTGAGGGACAGGCAGCCTCTCCATAAGCCTTGGAGGACATGACTTTCTAATGGTGATTCTAGAGTCTGCAAATGCATTGATGTGCCCTGGCCTATAAGCCCTGGGTCCTTAGAGGCAGAACCTGCTAGCGCTAATATCATAGGAAATGTGAGGCATGGCTGTCCCACTTCCCTGTGTGCATCCCTGGTGTGGCCATTTGTGCTTGATCCAGTCCATGGTCAACTCCATACAAGCCTTCAGTATTCAGATCCTTGTTCACAAACCACGAGGACCAAGCTTGGGATGCTGTCTAGGCACAGACCATCCTGCTTTGCAAGGTAATGTTTTGGAACAAACAGTGCAGACTTAATCATGCAAAAATGTTATTGTATTGAAGGGATCAGACTTCAAAACATGCTTGCCTGGCCCAGCAACTGAATTATATTGCTACCAACTCTCACCCCAGCCACTTGTACTTAGACAGCCTGCTCTTTGTACCAGAATAATGGATAATAAGAGAAGATGGAGCAGGGGAAAAAAGTGTAACCAAGCAGGACCCTATGGGGCCTTCCCCCATATCCTCTGCTTTAGCTCCTCTCTGAAGTACTTAGATAACAGTATCTGATGCACATTTTAAATCGCTAGGTGGCATTTAGGGGACTCAAAGAAGCTCTGGTCCTTTATGTCTCAGTGCAGAAAGAATTCAGTGAGGGGCAAAGTGATAGATAAGAAGTGATTTATTAGAATAGGATGCTTTTGGGCTCCCCCGGTGATGCAGTGGTTAAGAATCCGCCTGCCAATGCAGGGGACACGGGTTCGAGCCCTGGTCCGGGGAGATCCCACATGCCGTGGAACAACTAAGCCCGTGTGCCACAACTACTTAAACCCACATGCCTAGAGCCCGTGCTCTGCAACAAGAGAAGCCACTGCAATGAGAAGCCTGCACACCGCAACGAAGAGTAGTCCCCACTTGCCACAACTAGAGAAAGCCCACGCGCAGCAATGAAAACCCAACTCACCAAAAAAATAAATAAATAGAATAGGACACCTTTTACAAGTGGGAGGGTGAGAGGGTGCCATGCCCTGAGAACTTAGTGGGCTACAGTTTTATAATCAAAGGAAAAGTAGGGAGAAGGCCACCTTCTTCCTCATTCTTGGGTAGATGTCACGCTTCCATCATCAGCTCCTCCTCCACGTCAGGCAGGGGAGTTTTCTTGTCCTTACATGGTCAAGCTGGGACTGTCATGGCACAATTGAAATAAGCAAAAAGGCAACAACATACGTTAAAAATGGCAAGTCATCTCAGGTTTTAGTATATTGTCACCTTTTCCTTATATATTTTTTTGGTGTGCGCCGAGGAGCATGTTCTAGGAATCGTTAACTTACTACCTCACTGGGCAGGATGTGGGTCTCATGCCACCACTGTTTTATTCTTTTGGGGCATGTCTCATGCTTCTGTTGTATGGTTTTGTTGCTAAGCAAGACTGCTTGGTTTTGTGGTTAAGCTTTCTTCAGTAATCATTAATTTACAGGGGTCTCCCA